TCTTAAAAATGGATTTATTAAGAGGCCCGCATATCTACATATGCGGGCTTGGCCGCATAGAAACCGGGTCCAGTATAATATATGTTTTTATTTTTTAGAATGCTATATATATATATATATATGCCAACTTTCCCAATACCAAACAGGTGAAATTTCTAGCACCACAATTTATCAAACAGGGTCCCCAGCTTTCAAGCTACCAATTTTCATCTGCTTCCCAAAATCCAGGAAAGTTAGCAGTTGGGATTTTCCCAGGGAAACTGCAGTGAAAGTTATCAAACGCCACCTAAAGGTTTTAAAATTAGTCAGACTAAGACATAATATATAACATGCAAGTTTAGTAATAATAGGTGTAGAAAGGAAGAAGTAGTTAAGATTGATGGCCAAGAAATTCCTAAAAGAGAGTGTTTCCAATATCTTGGGTCGATAATTCAGAAAAATGGACAGATCGAGGAATATGTCCTGCCTAAAACTAGAATTAGGTGGGCAAAGTGGAGATGTGCAACCAGAGTTTTATGTGATCAACATATACGAATGAAGCTGAAGTGGTAGTTCCATAGGATATCTGTGAGACTAGCCTTGCTTTGTGGGACAGAATGTTGCGCAGTCAAGAAACAACATATACCTATAGGACGAGTGTAGTTGAGATGAGCATGTTGAGATAGATGAGTGGAAAGACAAGAAATGATAGAATTCGAAATGAATAGATACAAGGGAACTTAGGTGTAGCTTCAATAGGCGATAAGGTGAGGGAAAGTAAAGTTATGTAGGTTGGCCTTGTGCAGCGTAAACCCAATACAGTGCTAGTTAGGAGGTGCGAGAGGTGCAACTTAGTTCAAGTAGAAGGCTCTAAAAGGGCAAAGGGAAGGGCCAAAAGGACATGGATAGAAGTAGTGAGGAAAGATATGAAGACTCATAGTCTTACTGAGGGTATGACCCTTGCTAAAGCAAAACAACAGAACAGGACTTGTGTAGCCGACCCCAAATAGTTGGGATAAGGCTCTAATGATGATCATCATGATGAGCTTCAATATTCCAAAATCCGTGGCAACTACAGACTATGTGAAAATCACTTGAATTGGCTATTGCTGTTCAGAAATTTCAAAAAATGAATAGGATTATGCATATCAAATGCATACTCATGAGGACTGGCTATCAACTAATGTTTGCATGACTAAAGTTAGTTTTTTGTGAATTTATGCATTCTAACCAAGCATAGAGAATGTCAAAGCCATGTGGACCATCAAAGACCACGAGCTGACAAAGCAAGGTTGGCCTCTACCAAAAATTTAAGGACAACACTAAAGCAATAAAGGCTGATTTAACAAATGGAACATGATTTTGGTTCACAAATATTTGCCAATTCCCCACACCCAAAAATAAAAATAAAGGATAAGAAGAGTATTAAAACAAAAAGTTACAGATTAGTGTGGATCCAAAAACCACCCAATCCTTCTATAAATCAAATTGGTTTATTAACATGAAGTAACAAAAAACTAATGCAAGACTAAAAGGGAAAGTTATCTAGTGAAGTTGACATGCATATACAAAACCTCTTCTTCATCAGATGTGGCCTCAGATAATTCCAACTGATCATTGGAGGATGCCTCATTATCACTCTGAATACCAGGAACAAGCACCTTCTCTGACATAGCAAGTGTTCTACAGGTTGAATCTGCCTCAAGAGATGAACCATTTCCAGCAAGGATCTTCCCTATCAAAGAAAAGTAGGTAATACCATAAAAAAATTAAAAATACATTACACAAACATGTAATGATGCATATCCAAAATTTAAAAGTGAAAACAAATCACTCTTGTAAATTAATTATCATCCATCACACACTTGGAGGCACCTAAAGATATCTTTCTTTACCCAGATAAGTCTCGAATGTCAATTTTGCTGAACAAGATTTGCAGTGACCTGTCCACTACTTCATGTTACCATAAATTCTTCCCATTAGCCTGTAATTATGAGTTCAAATGTTTGTACAAGTCTAGTATCAGAAAGAAAAGGAAAACCACAATACATCAAGCAGATTTCAGAACCATCATTGCTTTGCCACTTTTTTTCTTTTGTTTCTAATTAACTCATGATATCTGTTAATTTACTCTTAGCCAAAAGAGTATATGCTTTTGCAGGAGCATATCATACATTCACTTCTTCCAGTAAAACTCTATCTAGGAGTATTTTTAGGATGTAACCCCTCGACCTAAGAACCAACCTAAAAACTGAAAAAAAAAAAAACAATACCATAAGATTGAAGAGCGACCATCTAATTTTAGGATGTTCTTATCTAAGTGTTTGGGAACTAAAACAATTTCTTTTCTGAGGGGGGGAAAAAAACTCAACTAGTGATTCTACAATTGATCCCGAAATTCATATCGGAAAAAATCCTCCTCAGTAGGTACTTTGCCTGAGGAAGTGAGAGAATAGAGTACTCCCAGAGGACTATGCTATAAGTGCTCTTATTTTGTAATTTGACTGTTTAACACTTGATATTACAATTTCTAATAACCCTTAACATTTGATCCCATGTGCCCATTCAATTTGCTGTCAATTAACTACAACAACAACAAACACACATGCATGCAAGAGAGCCTACGTGCACAGCCGCACACACATACCCATAGAGAGAGAGAGAGAGAGAAAAGAGACAGAAAGGGAGGGAGGGAATTTTAGATAGAAGCATTGGCTGGTAGCAGTGTACATAAAATCGGCTTGGCCAAGGTAATGGGACCTTGGCCGAGCGGAGTATCTCAATGGAGTCCACCAAGTCATGCACAAGGCTGAAAGGCCCTGAATAAATTGAAAAAAGATTGAAAAAAAATTCAAAAAATAAGGAAAATGTTTAAAAAGCAAAATAAACAATAACCTTAAGGTGCCCGAATAGGCTTAAATAGGTATTGGAAAAACGGATCTAGAAAAAACAGATTTATTGTTGGGGGCATTTTTAAAAAGTCCAACAAAAGGTAAAATATAAAATTAAGGATTTATGGCTAAAAACACTCACAAATCTTTGCCAAAAAGATATAAATCATACACAACAAAATGATGGATCAATCCCACATTTTTTATTATTTTTCTTAGTTTTTCTTAAATTTTATTAATATCCCCCTTAAAGTTGTACACACAACAGTTATTCGGCAGAGTCCGATACGTACACAGCCAGGTTTTGGTAGAAATGTGAAAATAATGTCCTGCCATGATGAAAGATAATTTTTCACAAATAATCAAAGAGGAGCACAATTAGAATGCAAATACACGAAAAAACGAACAAAACACAAAGTAATTCTAAAACTCTTCTGTCAAAAATGGTATTATCACTAATGCTGAAGAATTGGACAAAGCCTGAAAACCTTCAAGCTACAAAATAATTGCTTGTCCAAATCTCATCCATGAGAAAAAAACTGGTACTTTTTTTCCTGGAATAGTTTGATATTCAACCGTATAACATAACAAAACCACTGAAGAGAGAAAAAAATGTCTCGAATTCAGAAAAAACTGAATTGTACTTCAGAAAAATCCAATAAAAGACTCCATTCTTACCTCTGAATCATCCTAAATCTTCCAACTTTCTAAACATATTAACTTTTTATAATTCCAATTTTTGCATTAAAAATATTTTATCTACCTTTTGTCCATTAAAACTAAGAAACCATAGTAAACCCAAATTAATCAAGCTCAATTTTAACGCTTACAAATTGGACATATTGAAACAAAAAAAAAGCAAAGGGAAAAGAAGAAGAAGAAGAAGAAAAGAAAAATAGAACACCATTATACCATGCCAGAGCTTCAACTTCAAAGAAGAGAACAAAAAAGGAAGATTGTTTTACACTCTAAACTTTCATGAATGATCCAAAAAAGAATTGAGCTCTAAACCTCCATATCAAGAACACCGAAAATCTAACTAAACAAAAACTGCAGAGACTTCGAACCTTCATGAATTAACAAGCAACACAAACCAAAAAACAAAGGATCTTAGAGAAAATCATAAGCACACATTCTAAACTGCAAAAATAGGTGACCTTTAGGGTTTCACAGAAATTTACTCAGGAAAGGCTTCTGCAGAACAACGGGAAAAGCCCTGTCCTTCTTATCGCCAGTAATCCTGGATCCCATATAAGTAGCAGGAGAGCGAATCCCTGCAAGTGACCAAGCCATGGCCACCAAAAACTAGGGCTTAGAATATCGAAAAACTAGGGTTTTAGGATCAGACAGTTTAGAGCGAGAGAGTGAGAGAGAGTTCTGAGAGCTTGGTATAGCTGTGTTTTGGCTCGTCAAAAAATAACAGAGTTATGGCCCTTCAAAACTATCAGAGCTTGGGCTCTTAAAAAATAACGCAGCGTATGTTATATTTTTATTTAACGGTGTATAATGCACTCCCGCGGGATCAAACCATCCAGTTATGGAGCTACTTTCACAAAAAAAAAAATCCATGATGTAAATCTTACGTAGGAAATTTATCAAATATATATAGAAGATACAATTATTTAACAATTTATCTATATTTTTTTATTTAATTCCAAAGTATCCATCAAAATATATGTCGTCATAAATTGAAATAGTTGAAAAAGAGTAAACCGTTAAAAAACAAGGGGTACCTTTATTTGGTATAAAATATTTTCACATGAAAGAATTCATTTGTGTAGTTAAGTGTGAGAATATTTTCATGACAATTGGTCTCAGTATATCTTTTTACATTAATTAGCAGTTAATTATATATTCTCAAAACTAAATGCACCAAGTGTATTTTTTATAAAATTTCCATCCAGTATTTCGTATTTTCGAAGTAAAGCTCACCCTAAAAACTAGTTTTGAGGATTAAATCTCTCCATTTCATCGATTTGATTTTGGAATGCATGTCTATGAACCAAAAAAAAAAAAATTCAAGTATAAAAAAAAATGTATCTTGTAAGGCATTATATCAACCAACCATATTCCTATTTTGGGTTTTTAGAGATATAACAGAGTGAGTGGGGACAGTTTGCTCCCGCGAGAGCATAAACGTTTTGATTGTTTGATTTTTTAGTGCAGTGTTGTGTGCTACGTGTCAGTTGCTTAATTGCATGGAGATGCGCTTCCTCTCTGTGGGTCCCACGCAGAAAAACTATCTCATCCCGAGATACACGTCTCACCTTCCGAGGTCCAATAACAAATGGACACGTGGTAGAAATGGTTAGAAGTGGCGGGTAATTATAATTTCTTGACTATTTTGCCCTTGGCAGCATTTCAGATTTTTATTTTGAGATTTGTTTTATTTTGTTTAGAGAAAATGACGGGAACGGACACCTGGGCAGGGCGATGTTGACGAGAATAGCCTTGAACTATTTAGAAATGGCACGAGTGATTTTTCTTGGTAATTTTAGATAGGAAAATTGTTTCCCGTAGGCTGGACCACATTGCTACAATACACGGTGCAAAGGTATAAAGCGATGGATGTAAATAGTTGGTCCATCTAAAAACAAGTGTAACAGTCCAAATATTTTTTTAATATAATTATTATTCTTAGTTTTCATTTTTAAATTTTTTTTTTCATATTCGTGATCTTCATGATAAGGATTATATATCCTCTAAAAATTAGTATCAAATTATATTTTAAAAATATATTATTTTCCAAGCCTGTATTTCTACAATATGTGAGCTGGACATATAAAAACCATGTCCTTTTAAATATCTTGGATTTATAGTGGTTTTAATAGTTTAACTCTGCCATGGTTGGTCTCAAGCCAATTATACTAGTCCCAAGACGGGATAAAGGATGAGGGTTGTGTTAAGTTAGCAACTAATATGAAATTTTATTACATCTTCACATGAATCCTTAATATATATTCTATGTTCATGCGGGGGCATTGATAGAGCAAACAACAAAAAACATGATTCATGTAGTCCAATCCCAAATAGTTGGGATAGGCGCAGATGATGATGATTCTTGTTTTAATAGACATTAAATATGATGCTAAAAATTTTTCTTTTTTTATTTTTAGGAATGACAGAGAGATGGCAATGTGTTATCTTGGATTTTCTACTAGGTTGCAACCTTATAGTATTGAAGTAAGGTGCACCTCAAAAATCTTATAGAAGAGAGTGCTTAGACATTGGAGACCCTTCCAATCCATCACCTCAGATATGCAAATATGAACCAAAAAAATGGATTTCAAGTCTTAAAAATATACATATTGTAACAAGTTATCTATGTTCAATATTTTCAAGTGTCTCTAGATCTAATTGATCATAGTATTTTAAAAAAAATATAAATGGAAAATTATCAAAATACCCATTTGAAAATAACCATTTAATATTGTATTCAAATCATTTGATTTATTTCTAAAATACCCATAAACTATACATTATGATGAGTTGGAATAGTCCCAAAAATGTAAAATGCTAAATAGTACATCTCTCATGGGTATCTTCATAAATTTCCCATTTTAAATTTCATAACTAGTATTACAAATTGATTTTTGAGCTATTATAAGATTTCTAACAGCGGAACTACATCTCCAAGCAAAATTTAGAGGTGAATCTCACTTTTATAGTATAAGGAAGGCTTGTACAAATCTCATAATTAAGATGTTTACTTTAGAGTAGGTGCTAAATAAATTGTTATAGGGCAATCAAGTGTTGGAAGAATACAAGTATTCTTTCAGCATCTAAAAAATAAAAATAAAAAAATTGAATTTTGGGAGAGACTTAGCAGTCAAGTGAAAAAAAAAATACAGCATTGAAAAGTCTCATAATGATTTGCATATCTATTTCTGACCATGACTATAGAATTTGAGGCTTTAAAACTGGTTAAAATCTATAGACGCTTGAAATACATGGCTTAAAAAGTATAATTGTAAAGCCAAAAATGAGACTTCTTTTTAGATAGTTAATTTGTACATTTTCACACGAGATCTACATGCGATTCATATTCCCCCTTGCTTAATACTTTCCTAAATATGGTATCTTGTTTAATCTATAATTCTAGATTTTCAAATAGGAATATTCAAGGATATAAGGGCTATTCCCTAATAAAATTCATTTTTCGATCAATGAAATACTAAAATAATGTTCGTAAAGAGAAATAACTGTCCATGGGCCAATATGATTAAGTTCTTTTTGTTTCAAGCTTTTGCCCTTCTATCATTTAAGTCCTTTATGGTCCAAGCTTTTGGGTCAGGTCATGAAAAGCTTGTGTCCTTCTTTTGTAATTGTACCGAACCATGGCCCCACAAGTGGGACCCATACCTAGTGCATTCCATGTCGCCAATTCCTTTACGATAATAGCAACAAGGCCAAAAGGAAATTACTTGAAGGGAGTGGACTGAGGGTAGCAATGGGAAAAAATGATAAAATAATAATAATAATAATAATAATAAATGGAAAAAATAAAAGAAAAAAGAGCAAAAAGAGCCGAAACGGGCCATCAGTGATCCTAACCTGGCTCTTGGGCCACAATTTGTGTCCCGTACCCTAATTTTTTTAGGGCCAAGCCGACCTGATTGGGTCATGTTGCCCGCCTTAAAGTGGAGGAGATTACCTATACCTTTTTGGGCTCCACCAAGATATCTTTTTATAGTGGGACCACATAAAAATGGTTTGATAAACTGCACGTCTTTTTAAAGAAGTAAAGAATCACTTCATAACTCATCAAAAATTTCAATTCAAGCAATGAAAAACATTTACGTCGATTATCTCAACAGGATCATTTTGGCTGCGAAAAAAATATAAGATTTCAAACTCTAAAAATAGTATATATTTTAACAAATTGTCTAGACCGCCCTAAAAATAGGTTGTCAAAGATCCGTAAGATCTATAAGATTTTTTGAGTTTCAAATTTTATTATCGGAATTGAAAATTGATTTTAAAGTGCTATGGTGTAGATTTCCATTGCCATTAGTGTTTTTCATTTGAGGATTTGAAGTCGGGCTTTCAAGAACCCTAGGCCTCGTGGACACCCTCTCTGAGTTGTCCCAAAAAGGGGTAATGTCGTCTTTCTTCATTTTTTGCCCCATAAGATTCGAACCCTTTTGCATGCATTAGGTTTGGAATGATACGGTAATTGCGTTTACCTTAGAGAAAGGAATACAACTTTCAAAGCATAAAGTTTCTTTTTAATACAACTTTGCGGTTTGTTTTGCCTGCCCCGTTACTTCTCATAAGATCAATCCATATTTTTATTTAGGATGAAGATTCAATGAGCCAACTCGCTATAGGCTGCATGGCTCAGATTAAAAGAAATGTGTAACACATTTTATCCTGCACTTTTTTGTGTGTATTCAATTTTTTATTTAAGAAATTTATTAAAATACCTACAAGAGATTAAGAATGTAATGTTTTACCCTTATTTTTTATTTAATTTTAAATATAGACTTACCAAATATATATGTAAACTAGTAGAAAAAAAACCCTTGTCTCTAATAAAAATTAAACTCAAGACATCATGTTGTAGCGCTTCTTTGCTTGCTTAACGGAACCACCAATTATTCACCCTTTAGGTCACTTCTATGATATTTGTTGAGCATTGGCATGAGTTTATTCCACTGCTCAGGTGTGGCTTTGTCTCTTACCCATAAAAAGCAAGTGTGTTCCCCATATTTTCAAGAGAAACTTTACGAATTGAAGTTTATTATGTGGATTAGCGTTACTCATGTCTTTTCCCATACGAATAAACCAAGGAATATCCTCTTCTTATTTCAAAGTTAAGATGGGTGGGGAGAGCTATTTAATCCAATAGAATATTGAGTGATTTACTTATGCACCTTAAATTTTTTCTAAAATATAAAATACTCTATTTATAGGTGAAAATTACAAAGAAGGTCGGTCAACCCATATTTTTTTATTTTTTCCAAATTGCCCTTCGATACGAGGACATCCTCATACCGAATTTTAAGTATTATTATTTTTTAGTTTTTCCTTTAATATGGCACTACCCTAAAGCTTGGGGCATTGTCCTACTAACGAAAAGATTAAAAAAAAATTATAATTTGGACCAAGGATTCCATCCTAGAACATAAGCGCAATTTTGAAAAAAACCAATAAAAGGCAGGTTGATCGACTTGCTTTACAATTTCTGCCTGTAAACGGAGTATTTCGTCTTTTAGAAAAAAAATTTAAGATCTATATGTAAATCACTAGAATATTCTTTCATATATAAGTACAACGATTAATAAGGAATCGGGCTTGAGTGAAGTTGGTGGTAGCTAGATTTTCACATCACTACGTCTCAGATATGAGGATTAATCTTGTCAAAAAAAAAAAAACAAATATGAGGATTAATATAGTTATACATTACCATAGTGGTCTTGTTCCACTTTGCTCATACGCGACAAGA